AGTATGACCTTTCTTTTTGAATTTTTAAGATAAACGATACATTTGATGCCAACGTCACAGGCACAAGAAGCATATATGCATACTGCTCATGAGTCTAAACCAATAGTGTTATGAGCATTCACAGGAACAGAATAAAAATATCACCAAATGCCTTTTCTCCATGACTCCTGAAAGACGGCTTTACTTACACTCAGCAGGTGATGATGAAGTCTTTTGCCTGATCATGGTATGCTGCTGTGTGTAAGACTTCAGGGACTGACTAAGAGGTGCTTACTGCTGTGCTAAAGGATTTTAATTTACTTAAAATTTGGGGCATAAAAACCTTTTCCTTTTACTGACATACATTTTAATGAATTCTAAACTGCATATTAAAGTTCACTGCTATTAAAATGACTCATTGCATATATTCATGGATACCTCCACAAAGGAGTGCAAAACACTCTGTACTAAGTTTTTTTTCTTCATTTCCTACGTTTTTATTTCTCTTTATATTTTCAGGAAAGAGAGAACAAGATACACATTCTATTCCATTATTCAAAAACTAGCCTTACTCTGTAAAACACAAGTCCTGATTTTACAAAGTCCAAGAAATTAATTTTGACTACAGTGCTAAAGAGGCTTCAAGGGGAAGTCTCCACTCACTGGACACCTGGGATACAAATACCACCTAATATAGGCAAGTGCAATTGTGAATATAGCCAACTGCACAAAACCCCTAATAAGGCTTGTTCTTGTCGACAAATTTCTGCAGACACTTGTCTTGTTTCTCACCTTCCCTTTCCCATTTTAGATCACGAAACCCTGCACAGACTTGAGATGTCAGGCATGCATCATAAGACTTTCCACAGGCTTCTGTGCTTCTGCTGGACCCTTCATTGTGGTTAAATTGTGCCTGAGGTGGTGAAAAACTTGGAAATAAGGGCCTCAGAATAAGATAGAGTAAGCTGAAAAGAAGCAGAAAATTTTTTTCAGCTAGAGTTCTAAACAAGTTAGGTCTGTCAATTTTAATGTAGTTTTTGACCTCTTTAACCTCTTAACAAGCTATCAGTGCTGTTAGTCCAAGCCTGAAGAAAGCTTTAGGTTTGTCTACCAATTTTTTCAGAAGCTGGAAGAAAACAAACTAGTGTTTTCTACAATGACTCTTCTAAAGCCTTTCCTTAGGGACAAAGCCAACCTTTCAGGCAATGCATGCTGCAAAAGCTACTGGTATCTTGTAAAGGACTTTGACAAGCTGTATGGACCTCAGGGAAAAAAAAGGAATAGGTGGTATAGTAATTTGATCTGATGGTGAAAAAAAAAGGCTTTAGCTTGAGGAGTTGTTTCTGAAGAACATGTTGGTTCTCTTCTGAGACACATAGTTGAAAAGTCTCTATAGGGGAGCATCCATGAAACTGAGATTAGGTTTTCCTCATGGATATCTCTGGTGAAGATAATTTGGCTCTGGATAGCATGTGAGAGTAGAGCTTCTCAGACTGAGGGATGCACGAAGTTACCCAGTACCACCATGAGAATGAGACAGTGGCCAGGACAGAAAATACCAAGAAACGGCTCCTCCTGTTCCCTGTATCTAACATGCTTCCTCAGCCTAAAATCCCAATATGAGGAATATGAGTCACATAACCCTGATTTATATATTTGCTTGACTTCCCGCTGTTAACATGCAAGGCTGGGAAGGAACATAATAAGAAAAAGTTCAGATAACCTGTGAGGGAGCTAGTTCAAGAAACAGAGATGTCTTATCAACACTGCAGAAGATCCCAATATCAAAATGCTTAGCACTGAAGTAGAAATTTTTGCAGAGAGAATGAACTCCACTTGAAAGGTAATGTTAAATCTCTGCTGCTATAAACTTTTTAATGAATACTGATACCAAGTATAACAAAGTCGAAATTGTTGTCACTGGAGTGGGCGATTTCATCATGAATTTTACTGAGAGGACAGCAAGTCAAAATACTGGAACAGAGTGCAATAGGAAATAGAAAGAAGATGCCAGGGGAAATAATCAGGGACTGTAGTGAAGGTAGCTGGTGACTGAATCATAAATACTATCAGGCTGTCTATAGGTTAAAACCTGAGCCTTTTCTTTACTTAAAATAGGAGAAGACTACCTACCACATTCACAAACACCTGTGGCTCCTTTCTACATTTCTGTAAGGACTTCTAGCACAGCTTCCCTCTCACATGAATATAGGTATAAAGCCCTGCACAAGAATACAGTAGAAGCTACCTAAATTGGCACTCTGATAAACAGCAAGCCTCTCTACTGTCAAAGAACGCATTCGGTGCAGCACACTGTGATGACTCAAGCAATGAGCACATCACATCATGTCAAGTGACTGTCCTGCTGCAGTTGTTTGCAAGCCCTTATCATTGACATGCGTCAATTAAAAATAGCTGAAAGGCCTTTTTTTCTGCTAAACTCTGCGTAATTTTACATGAATCTACCATTTTTTTCAGAACTAATTAGTTTCTTTCATTAATGTTACATGCAATGTCTAGGCACAATGTACAGTGCTTACTTTCTGAGCAATTCATGGCATAAAAGACGGTCTCCCTCATCAGCACCTATTGCTGTTAGCATCTGAAAATGGCACTGATCCCAAACCTTCATACTTCTGTTTCTATAGTGACTTGGCTCCTAGACAGATTTCACTGCACTTCCCCATTGTCTCCACTGCTTGTCTTTTCTGTTTCCTCATAAGAACTCCAGCTACTCAGTTTTTTTAAGACAAAACCCCCACATTCGCTCTTTCATTAGAAGCTGTCAACTGGAAGACCCCACCATATGTCTGTGGCTTCCTGAGTAAAACTGAATAGCACAAGTTTAAATTGTATTAGCCTTGCCTAGGCAGCAGTTCTATGTGGATGAAGTGCAACACATCACGTGAAGTTTGCTGAGGGATGAGCAGAGCAGTTGAGGCTTCATGCATCATTCTGCAGCCAGATGTATTTCCTTCTTGCTACTGAGAAGTCCCCCCCTGTGCTCTGTGTGCAGACTGGCCATCTGTAAGACTTTGCAGGGATCTCCATGTACATGTGTGCGCTGGGTACTGCGCTCACTCAGTTGTTTCTTAACACCCTGATTTCCAAGCAATTAACATACTCACTCAGCTTTACATATTCAGAAAATGACAAGGTCATATATGTTTAGGAGAAAGGGCAATAACCTGAGTAAATATTTTGATAGACTTCTTTAAAGTAGCTATTGTAGTACACAAAAGGAGATCTGTACCTTTATTTACAAAAAACACCCCCAGAAAACCCCAAAACATACACCACCATGACCCCCCCTTAATTTCTTCTCTTAATGAATATAACTTGAAAATCACTCATAAGTACAGTCTGCTGGAAGTTCTCAAGATGCTGGTTGGGTCAGTCTTTTGGCCTACAGACCCAGATGACCTCATTCAGGAATGAAATTACTAGGAAAGTGTTCCAAACCCTAATGCATTAAATGTGGATTACTGCAGTTAATCAGGCTTTTCATTAGCATATGACTAGTTTATAAACTATTCTGAAATGTGACATTTCTAAAGGATCATATAACAGCACTTCCAAATTTTTCAGCATTTAACCACTACTACGTTTTTATCCTATCAGAACCAACAGACTGTGAAAACCATGAAACAGCACTTGAAAAACGGAATTTGAAAGCAGCACATGACCTCATTGTGAGGTCCTTTAATCGCACCTCAGCCCTAAAGGCAATGGCCATGAAGCTGAAATAGTGAAGGTTTATCCTGTAACCATGTGAACACGAGGTGAAGCTTGTAAGATTAGTGGGCATTTTGACTGAACAACCTCACCTTGCAACTAGTTGGCACAACATGATGCATTTTTTTTATTTTTGTAAGTATTTTCCATGGAAATGGAATGGAAAGCAATTGGAGTGGCAGGCTGTGAGACCTGCTGACTACTTGCACAATAAAGGCTAAGCCATGATGTGAAACCCTAGGAGCTGCTGCATCTTGAAATACCATAAAACTGAGCAACTTCTATCTGGAGTAAATCTGATTGGTATTTTCCTTGAATACACAGTGCATTTGGCACTACAATTTGTTTTAAACAGTGATTGGCATCAAGGCTGTTGTGGTTGTATTCATTTTCTTTAGGGGATTCACTTAAATTAAAGTATTAACTGTTTGAACTTATTTGTATTCTGATAACATCCACCATATTGTTGGCACTGTCCACCCACACAAGAGAAAACTGCGCTTTTAAAAAAAAAAAAACAACCAATCTGAGATCAGTTGAATGTTGCAACACTGCAGAGAAAATCTGAGTTCAGAAATAATACATAGCATTACGATTATCAGATCAGTACTAAATTAGGGTGCAATAAATCTTGGAAGGCCAGAAATTACCTAAACAAGATAAAAGCTCAAGATATATTAACCAGTACATTCTAGAAAGGAAGCACAGGTCTTTGTTTTAAGACACTGAAAACTTTCTTAATAAAGCTGGGGTTTCAATGATGCTGAAAGCAATTAGACAACGAGTTTCAAAGGGAGCTACACATGTAAATTCCTCTGTCTCATTTGAAAATCCCAGCCAACAGCAGCAATCATGTTTGGTTTAAATCATCATATCATCATGGGAAACAAATCCATTAGTCTTTCATTCCAGGCAAGAATGAAGTGCGGGTGAGGGAGCAAACATGGTGGGAACACGGGTATCTGCAGGTGATTTATGGGCATGCACTGAGCTAATAAAGAAAGTGAAGTTCAGAAAGACACAGACAGCAGTGAAGGGAAACTAGATCCTGGAAGGATGACAGTGATTGTGCAGATTACAAGAAAACAATCAGAAGTGACAGTCAACCTTCATCCTCTGTGGAGGCAAGCAGGCATCCAGTCTGTAAAGAATAGCATCCACTTCTTTTTGCTGAAAGGATTTTTTGGGGTGGGGAAACACCACATGGTTTTCTTTGCTGTGTTCTGCAGTTTTTCAAATCCATTCTCTCTGTCTGAATATTCGTAACACATAAATATGCTACTTACTCCCTCATGCGTTTCAGTTTGGTCTCGGCCATAGTGCTGTTGAGAGCTCTGAATCCCTGGGGCGCTGGTGGAGACGCTCCGGTGACAGTCCCCGAGCCTACAAATCAATGCAAAGACACATAACCTTATTCACCTTCATCCTCTGAGCTCTATTGCCTAGTCAAGGGCAGTCAGAAGGAGGAAGACTATTCCTGTTTCTCGCAAGTAGTGCCACATTAATTAAAGATGAATTAGATTATTAAATGCACATTAAGGCCAACTCCTTTCTGAGGGACAAGTAGATTTATAGCTTAAAGGCACCAGAATTGTAACAACAATTTTCCTTCTGTGTAGCATACAGGGAGTTACATTACAACAGAAAGACCAGTCACTTGAGGAAGTGCTGGGACAGATAAACATTCAACAAAATGAAATCTGCTTAGACAGTATGTATTTTCTTCCATTGTTCTTGCACTTATTTATAGGAGCAAGAACCTTCTTCCTAACAGGCAAGTTTCTCCTTTAGCTTGATCATTACTGTAAACTGGAAGTATTTAACTTATGACATTTCTTCCCCTTCAGAGGAAGGTACTCTTTTTATGTATGTGAATATACATATTGAAAACATATTTGTATATGTAAATACACATATATATGTGTGAG